TGCAGGGTGCAGTGCAGGGTACAATGTAGGCTGCATTGCAGGGTGTGATGCAGGGTGCAATGCAGGATGCAGCACAGGTTGCGATGCAAGGCGTGACACAGGGTACAGTGCAGGGTGCAGTGCAGGGTGCTATGCAACACCAGCAGTGCTGTACAGGGTGCAGTGCAGAGTGTATTGCAGGGTGCAATCTAGTTGCTGTGCAGTGCACTGCGCAGGCCCAGCAGTGCCATGCAGGGTGCCGTGTAGGCTGCAATGTAGGATGTGATGCTGGGTGCCATGCAGGGTACAATGCAGGGCATGATGCAGCCTCAGCAGTGCCAAGCAAGGTGCAATGCAAAGTACCATGCAAGGAGCCGTGCAGGGTGCCCATCAGGGTGCCATGCAGCCCCTGCAGTGTGGTGCAGGGATGCAACCCCTGCAGGGTTCCATGCAAGGCACTGTGCCACCCCAGCAGTGTCACACAAGGTGCCGTGCAGGATATGGGGCAACCCCAGCAGTACCAAGCAGGGTGCAAGGCAGGATACCATGCAGGCTGCAAACCGAGGTGCAACACAGGGTGCAGTGCAGGATACAAACTGAGATGCAATGCAGATTGCAATGCAGGGTGCAAACTGGGGTGCAATGCAGGATGTGATGTAGAGTGCAAAGCAAGGGGCAATGTGGGACCGAGGTGCAACACAGGGTGCAGTGCAGGATACAAACTGAGATGCAATGCAGATTGCAATGCAGGGTGCAAACTGGGGTGCAATGCAGGATGTGATGTAGAGTGCAAAGCAAGGGGCAATGTGGGATGCAATGCAGGGTGCAATGAGGGGTGCAATGAAGGATGCACTCTGGGGTGCGATGCAGGGTGCCATGTGGGATGCAAACTGAGATGCAATGCAGAGTGTAATGCAGTGTGCAATGCAGAGTGCAATGCACAGTGCAATGCAGGATGCAAACTGGGGTGCAATGCAGGGTGCAATGCAGGGTGCAATGCAGGATGCAAACTGGGGTGCAATGCAGAGTGTAATGCAGGGTGCAATGCAGGGTGCAATGCACGGTGCTATGCAGGATGCAAACTGGGGTGCAATCAATGCAAGGTGCAAAATAGGGTGCAGTGCAGGGTGCAATGTAAGGTGCAATGTAGGGCGCAATGCAACGTTTAGTGTAGGGTACACTGCAAGGTGAAATGTAGAGTGCAATGCAGGGTGTGTTGCAGGGTGCAGTGCAGGGTGCAATGTAGGATGCAATGCTAGGTGCAATGTAACGTTTAGTGTAGGGTACACTGCAAGGTGAAATGTAGAGTGCAATGCAGGGTGTGTTGCAGGGTGCAGTGCAGGGTGCAATGTAAGGTGCAATGTAGGGCGCAATGCAACGTTTAGTGTAGGGTACACTGCAAGGTGAAATGTAGAGTGCAATGCAGGGTGTGTTGCAGGGTGCAGTGCAGGGTGCAATGTAAGGTGCAATGTAGGGCGCAATGCAACGTTTAGTGTAGGGTACACTGCAAGGTGAAATGTAGAGTGCAATGCAGGGTGTGTTGCAGGGTGCAGTGCAGGGTGCAATGTAAGGTGCAATGTAGGGCGCAATGCAACGTTTAGTGTAGGGTACACTGCAAGGTGAAATGTAGAGTGCAATGCAGGGTGTGTTGCAGGGTGCAGTGCAGGGTGCAATGTAAGGTGCAATGTAGGGCGCAATGCAACGTTTAGTGTAGGGTACACTGCAAGGTGAAATGTAGAGTGCAATGCAGGGTGTGTTGCAGGGTGCAGTGCAGGGTGCAATGTAAGGTGCAATGTAGGGCGCAATGCAACGTTTAGTGTAGGGTACACTGCAAGGTGAAATGTAGAGTGCAATGCAGGGTGTGTTGCAGGGTGCAGTGCAGGGTGCAATGTAAGGTGCAATGTAGGGCGCAATGCAACGTTTAGTGTAGGGTACACTGCAAGGTGAAATGTAGAGTGCAATGCAGGGTGTGTTGCAGGGTGCAGTGCAGGGTGCAATGTAAGGTGCAATGTAGGGCGCAATGCAACGTTTAGTGTAGGGTACACTGCAAGGTGAAATGTAGAGTGCAATGCAGGGTGTGTTGCAGGGTGCAGTGCAGGGTGCAATGTAAGGTGCAATGTAGGGCGCAATGCAACGTTTAGTGTAGGGTACACTGCAAGGTGAAATGTAGAGTGCAATGCAGGGTGTGTTGCAGGGTGCAGTGCAGGGTGCAATGTAAGGTGCAATGTAGGGCGCAATGCAACGTTTAGTGTAGGGTACACTGCAAGGTGAAATGTAGAGTGCAATGCAGGGTGTGTTGCAGGGTGCAGTGCAGGGTGCAATGTAAGGTGCAATGTAGGGCGCAATGCAACGTTTAGTGTAGGGTACACTGCAAGGTGAAATGTAGAGTGCAATGCAGGGTGTGTTGCAGGGTGCAGTGCAGGGTGCAATGTAAGGTGCAATGTAGGGCGCAATGCAACGTTTAGTGTAGGGTACACTGCAAGGTGAAATGTAGAGTGCAATGCAGGGTGTGTTGCAGGGTGCAGTGCAGGGTGCAATGTAAGGTGCAATGTAGGGCGCAATGCAACGTTTAGTGTAGGGTACACTGCAAGGTGAAATGTAGAGTGCAATGCAGGGTGTGTTGCAGGGTGCAGTGCAGGGTGCAATGGAGGATGCAATGCTAGGTGCAATGTAAGGTGCAATGCAGGGCACAATGCAACGTGTGGTGTAGGGTGCAGTGCAGGGCGCAATGCAGGGTGTGATGTAGGGTGCAGTGCAGGGTGTGATGCAGGGTGCAATGTGGGGTGCAATGCAGGGTGCAGTGCAGGGTACAATGTAGGCTGCATTGCAGGGTGTGATGCAGGGTGCAATGCAGGATGCAGCACAGGTTGCGATGCAAGGCGTGACACAGGGTACAGTGCAGGGTGCAGTGCAGGGTGCTATGCAACACCAGCAGTGCTGTACAGGGTGCAGTGCAGAGTGTATTGCAGGGTGCAATCTAGTTGCTGTGCAGTGCACTGCGCAGGCCCAGCAGTGCCATGCAGGGTGCCGTGTAGGCTGCAATGTAGGATGTGATGCTGGGTGCCATGCAGGGTACAATGCAGGGCATGATGCAGCCTCAGCAGTGCCAAGCAAGGTGCAATGCAAAGTACCATGCAAGGAGCCGTGCAGGGTGCCCATCAGGGTGCCATGCAGCCCCTGCAGTGTGGTGCAGGGATGCAACCCCTGCAGGGTTCCATGCAAGGCACTGTGCCACCCCAGCAGTGTCACACAAGGTGCCGTGCAGGATATGGGGCAACCCCAGCAGTACCAAGCAGGGTGCAAGGCAGGATACCATGCAGGCTGCAAATCGAGGTGCAACGCAGGGTGCAAACCAAGGTGCAATCCAGGGTGCAATGCAGGGTGCAAACCAAGATGCAATGCAGGGTGCAATGCAGGTTGCAAACTGGAGTGCAATGCAGGATGTGATGCAGAGTGCAAACCAAGGGGCAATACAGGATGCAATGCAGGGTACAATGCAGGGTGCAATGAGGGGTGTAATGAAGGATGCACTCTGGGGTGCAATACAATGTGCAATGCAGGGTGCCATGCGGGATGCAAACTGGGGTGCAATGCAGGGCACCATGTGGGATGCAAACCGGGATGCAGTACAGAGTGCAATGCAGGGTGCAATGCAAGATGCAATGCAGGGTGCAATGCCGGATGCAAACTGGGGTGCAATGCAGGGCGCAATGCAGGGTGCAATGCAAGATGCAATGCAGGGTGCAATGCCGGATGCAAACTGGGCTGCAATGCAGGGTGCAATGCAGGGCACCCCGCAGGCCACCCCTGAGCGCCACGCGCACCCCGTGCAGGTACATCCCCGAGGGCCTGCAGTGCTCGTGCGGCCCTGACTGGTACACGGTGGGCACCAAGTACAAGAGCGAGTACTACACCTGGTTCCTCTTCATCTTCTGCTTCATCGTGCCCCTCTCGCTCATCGTCTTCTCCTACTCGCAGCTGCTGAGCGCCCTGCGGGCCGGGAGCAGCGGCGCGGGGGGCGCG